AAATGTTTAAAAAATAATGGGTGCTGATTGGGTCGTCGGAAGTGGTCAACGCTTTCTTCCCGTCACTGGAAAATAATAAAACATCGTTAAGTATATGTAAAATATGTATTAAATAGAATTTCGGTATTTTGCAAGCGAGAACGCCATATCCCAAAAATGTCATCAAAGATCAGGGTGTCAATTCTGTATCTTATGCTAAAAGTGAATAGCTGTGTCTCTTTCTAACAGTCTCCTTAGAAAGCGACAAAGTCGCTCACTTGTAGCATTTTCACTATATTGCAAGATACAGAATTGACCCCGAGAACACTTGAACGCTCAAAAATGTTGCAGTGCAAAAGAATCGAAATTTATTATGAAATTTATTATATAGTTATCCAAATTTTTCAGTGAAAAATATATTGTTCGTTAGCAACTATTTGGTGCGAGTATAAGCAAAACTAACACGTCGAAATTAACCCGTTCCGAATCTGTTCGATAACAATTCCATTTTCTGTTCCTTTCGCAACTAATCAGTACACAAATTTGTCCGCCAATAGTTTACCTGGATATGCATAAGTCGTATAAGGCCGCGCTATGTCCTGAAAACGTCCGGAGGCAATAGCCTGCTTTAGCATCGAAACATCTTTAGTTTACCATCTAATGCTGCTGTTAACAAAATCGATGTCTGGGTCTAAACCAATTTTACGATACCACCTTCCTGGTCTATCTCGTGCCTGAGGGTCTAAAGAGGATTGCGATAAAACAGCTTGTCGTTTGCATTCGAAGATAAACTTTAGATACACAAATATAAAGCATACTTGTTTAGAAATATCCCAAATGTAAAGTTTTCCTTGTACGTTGCTGTTGATTGCACCGGTTGCAGCAGCAGAGAATGCGGGATCTTTACAGAAAGCCACGGTCTCCACGTTGATGTCTCCATCACTTTCAGTTCTACCCAAATCCTGAAGTATACAAGACAATTTACTATAAAAGTATAAGATATACGAAATTACTAACCTGTTCACTGGAAACTGTCAACTTGACAGCTCAAGACCATCTCAAGTCGGCGATTTACTGTAGTTCTACCTTGAGACCGACTTCAAGTTTCAACTTGAGAATCGATCTTAAGCAAGAACTATGAATCGATTTTGGTCTTGAGAACGGGCTTAAGATCGTCTTGAAACTCAAGCTTGGACTATGAATACCGGCCCTAGTTGCCGCATTCAGGCTGTAATCAACATCACGAGCGCCACCATAGGATAAATGGCAGAAAATCGAAACACTAAGTCAGATTTAATGGTAAAACAGGACAGAAGACAGAGATAGAATATAGCTTATGTCGTGCTGTTTTATCATGTTTATCAGAGTTCAGAACCAATTATATTATAATTGGATCTGAACTCTGATAAACATGATAAAACAGCTATATTCTATCTCTGTCTTCTGTCCTGTTTTACCATTAAATCTGACTTAGTGTTTCGATTTTCTGCCATTTATCCTATGGCGGCACTCGTGATGTTGATTACGTGTTAGACCAGGCAAAGTGGAGGCAACTAGCAGTCCATGATTATA